TCTTATTCAAAATTTCTCCACAGTCTATCCAACCCATTCAGACAGGCATCTGATTGACAAATATTTAGTAACTATTACGCGCCAAGGGCTGGGGATGCATATGTGACTAAGGCATGGCATTGCTGTTGTGGAGTTCACTTCCTAGTGGGCAGACAGGCACAGAAATAGGTAATTACAAACAAAACATAAAGTGCAGTGATGGAAGTGCACACAGGTGCTATGGGAGTAGAGATGAGGGACACCACAGTCCACCCTGGACAGCTCAGACAGGGCTTCTGAAGGAAAAATGCCAGGCCTTAAAGGATTTTAAGTAGGAATTTAAATGTCTCCTCTGGTATCCAAGAGCTTCCTTAGCTGGTCCCCTTCATACCTCCAGCCTTATCTCCCTTTACTCCCAAAGTAACTCACCTCCCCACTACTACTGGACCACTTGCCTAACTACTTTCTTGAAAAGTTCACTTTTGATCCTATCTCTTTGTCCTCTTATCATAGGGCTTCTCTATCAGGCCTCCTCTATCTGGGATAAAACTAAACCCTTTTCTCTGGTAAGGTAACTAAACCCTGGTAAGGTATGGTCTCATCTCTTCATGAAAACTGGTCCTGCCTTCCATGCCGTCGTATACCTTCCTAGTACACATGGCAGCATTTCAAACAGGCACATTCGGATAGACACTATCATTTGTCCATATTGTGTAACTGTTTATTGTGTTTTCTTTTCACTCAAAAAAAAACTGTAAGTATCTTAAGGAAAAAATGGTTCATAAATTTGTTTCGTATCACTTAGCAAAGTGTCAGCCAAAACAAAATGTAAGTAGTTAAAAATACTATCTGAATTAAATCATCTCACTAATGACTTCTCTGGTTTATCTGATGTGCAGTAAATTCGTTTTATGAAGTTTTTGAAGTTCAAATAACCAGAAGAGAGAACATTCTTAGTTCTGTCAGCTAATTTACTACCTGAAAGTCAGTAGTACTACATGAGAAATAAACTAGCTTGGTAGAATTTGTGAATGTGAAGAAAGTGGAAACCATGGCATAAATTACACATTTGGTTTATAAGCAGCCTGTGAATAAGGTTCTTGTACTTAGCAAGCAGTTAGAAAGCAGTATATGGTTGAGAGGGAATGTATTTAGGGTAGAGCACAAGTTTGAAAATGAAACAAGAATAATTAAATGGCCTCTTTTGTGAGGAAGTATTATATATATATATATGTATCAGTCGAGTAAATGAGAGTATACCACATGTGAATGTGCATATACACACACGAGTATGAGTAAGGTAAAAGAAATGGCAGTTGGGAATACGTTTTCACACTGTTAATGGTTGCACATTTTCAAATTCAGCACTACTTTCTTCATGTCTTTTTATTTCTTATCTGTGTCCTTCCCACTGTTACTTCTCAAATTGTTCTTCTACTTAGTCTTTCTACCTTCTTCCCTCACTCCCTGCTTGCTAAAAAACAAAAGCTCCACATGCTCTCACTCACATATATACACTGCTCAATTCTTCACGTCCAAAGTATGAAACCAACTATCTCAAGAGGAAATTTGGCAGTGATGCCATTAATGCCCTAGACTAGCAAATGATGTGCAAACTTTTGCTCATGAATCCCTAAAAGAACTTTGAAAAAATGTATATGTATATATAAACTCTGTACCAGTTGTCAATTTATTGCCTCTCACCTCTAAATCCCTCTTCCTTGTCTACTCTGTCAAAATGGATCTGGGATCTTTTAAATATTTTTGTCTTTGTCAGCTAACATGATACTAAATTCTGTCAGCAGAGGGCACAGGAGAAAGATGGCAGAACCAAAAGGGTTTTCCTTCCTGGTTTCAGCATGCTTGCTCAACAGGCTCCTACAGAGTCTGAGGCTTCTCTGGCATCTGGCTTATGCAGTGCATGTAACTGCTCTCCTACCAGGCCCTTGCAACATGGGTGGCTTCTCTGGTGCCAGGCTGCTGCGGTATGAATGGCTTCTCCAGCACCCAACTTCTCCCGTACACACGGCTTCTCCAGCACCTCACTCCACTCGCACAGACTGCTTCTCCAGCACTCAGCCCTTGCAGTGCCCATGATGACTCCAGCGACAGGCTCCTGAAGCACAAGCAGCTTGTCCGGTGCCAGGAGCAGCCTTCAGGGATTAGCACATGGTGGCCAGCAACTGCCCCTGCCATTCCCCGTAGGCGGTTTTGTAGGGGAGTGCCTCCAGTGAGACACATCCCTGTAAACAGCTTTCCCCATGCCCCAGAGGGCAGATGTACAGCAAATTCCAGAAGTGGATTTCCAGAAAGCAGCACCATCATGGCACCACAGTGACTTCCCTGCCATGACCTCTCCAGCAAGGTCTGGATCTCAGCTGTGGGGTGAGGAGGGAAGCGGGGCTCTTTGGGCTCTCTCTCAGTCCTAGGGGTCGTGATTGCTTCTTACATTTGCTGTTTCTGCATTCTTAAGAATTTCCATTTACTTTTTTACTAGCCAAGTCCCTCATTACTACAATCCTCTGTTAAAGGTAGTAATTCTTTAAATTAAACTTTCTTCTTCAAATTACTCTGTGGTTTCTGTATCCAGATTGGACGCCAACCGATACATACTTTTCCATATATTTTAAAGTGAAAGCTAAAATTTCTTACCAAAAGTTTAAATAATTGGGAAAATTAGTTTTCTGGTATTCTACACATAGATTACATGCTTAAAATATATTTTTGCTGGAATCTTAGAGTTACATGTTTAGGTCATTTAATGAATGGAGAAGTCTACCATATAACCTAATCTGCAAAGGTAGCCCCTCTCTGTCATAGCTATTAATCAAATCCGACTTACTCTCTGTCAAAAAAAAGGTGTCCATTTTTCTAATTTGAATGTATATGTTGATACATGTTCTAATGACAACCATCTCACTTAAGCAGATTGGTAGAAAATGGATAGATAACAGATGGAGAGATAGAGACAGATAAGCACACAGCAGGTGGGCAGACTGAGCCTTGCCAAGATGAAATAGTATTTCAATACTTTTCTACCAGTTCAATATTTTTCAATATTTTTGGCCTTACTTTCATAGGTCTCTCCTTCAGAAGTAATGCATTTCTGAACTGCCATTTTGCTTGATGCCTTAGAAACTTTATCCTGGGACACTAAATCAGAATAAGATTTGGGAGGGGTGAAAGGCATGACATCTTTTGTGAAGTGTGAGAAGGGTGTTGATAAAGGAGACAGGAAGAAAGAAGTGGCCAACCACAGCCCTTCTCAGACACAGCAGTTTCAGAAGAGGGTACATATACATAAGCAAGTTTAGGATCAGAAACCTGATTCCCTCAAAACTGTCCATGCCCTATGGCCCCTGGAAGATCTTTATGGACACCAGGTACAAGTTCTCCAGGATGAAGACAGCAGTACCAGACCAATGAACTACTGCATTCCACAACAGAGGCTAAAGCAGGGATATGTCCCTAAAAACTGACAAGAAACCAAATAAGAAGCATGCAATTAAAAAAATAGAATAAAAGTATTAAACCATATTCCTTAAAAACTTAGAAAATAAAATATTTTCTTACAAGAACACTAAAGGAAATAGAGGCAATATCACATCAAATGTGAAACTCCCTGGCCCCCACCAGTACCTATGTTTGGATAGGGGTCTTGCCTTTACTATTTGTGACTCAAAAATCTCACATGGTTAAATTCTTCATTTACAGTGGTTCTGTTTCTTATTTAAAACAGTAAGTTTTCCTTAGGTCCATTACTTTACTGAATCACATGACAGGGAAAGATGGAGAATCTAAAACAAAAAGCAAAGGGGATGTGGCCCATTTGGGATATTAACAAGTTTAATATGGCTCAGCAACTATCTCAAGTGTTATATCAACTATTATGACACAAGCTAAAGGTGTTGAAATATAAGGATGTGTGTTTTCTGAGAGGAAATGGGTGACAATTTGAAGGGCTTGTTTTTTAACATGAAGAATAAATAGATAAGAATTCAGAACAGATTCTCAACCAACATTAATGTGCAATAAGGTTTTTGCAAGTTAAAAAAAGATTTTAAACTTTTAAAAAATCCTTTCTAGGAAACTACTGTTTCCTGTTATTTCTGAATAATCTGTAAATTTGAGTGTTTTAAAAGGGAAACATTTATGGAGAGATATTAAGTACGTTTTACATGCTACAAGTATCAGATTCCTGTTTGTTCATTTCCCCTAAGAAATTTGTAATTCTGTTTTAAATAAATGACATTTACTCTCAGTTAAGGTTTCTGTCTTTTAATTCCCCCAAATCAACATTCTCCCTTGGGAAGTACAGGGCTTCTAGGATTTTCTCCATCCAAATAAATAAATTTTGGTAAAGATTTTCCTTCCTTGAATAAGATCCATAATCTCCAGAATGCATTGTCTGGATTAACTATTTTGGTGGAAAAGTCTATGTACTGTCTGTTTTAGAGTAAATTCTTGGGATCTTTAAAATAAGAATTTTGGATCAATGCAAAAACTGTTAAACTCATTTTATGTAATTTGCTAACATATGTATACATATCTGTTATAATTCCTATGTTACTTTCAATAGAAGTACTGCTCTCTTCATTGCAGAAGTATGACTAATCACCTTCGTGAATATTATTCAAACTGAAGGACGCACATGCAGAACTTTCATTACAGTGCAATAAATAAATTCAGGGCCATCCCTTGATGATAGAAAAATCAATAAATACATAAACATCTCTAGGCTCACCAAAATTGCTTTCATAGCTCTGCTAAGCTCCATGGTTAAGGCAGTGAACAAATTACTGTATTTTAAAGATCCAAAGAGAGCAAAATCAGCCAGTCTACCAAACTGGTAATTTATCATTAAAGTCAGTAATTACTTTTGTTTTTTTTTTCTGGGGGGTGGGGGTAGAAATCACAGACATAAGAAAGTTTAGTAATGTGAAGATTCTAATGTGGAAAAGCAATAACTAGTTTGTTGCCATTGTGATATGTCCATATCCATAGGTTTTTAACATACTTACTTGAACAATGGAGTTCCACAAACAACACACTTATATATTCCAGGATCTTTGTGATGTGTGTATTCTCCTTCGAAGGCACTGATGGACAATAAACAGAGCATTAAAAAAAAATCAAAGTGAGCATTATTTCTTCTAGAATGTATTTGTTTAAAATATATTTCTCTAATAAATCCTTCAAGGGCTTTTTGTCCTAAAATATATGAACCAAACATATGGAAATCTGAACATTACTAATATATTTCAAATCTATATAAAAAATGTGCATTTAACTACTCCAACCTAGCGCACATTAAATTTTTTAAAAAATCAAGCCATCATTATGTAATGCCTAGAAGAAACTTTTTCCTATCCAACAACAAAAAAAAGTCTGTAGTTGAGATTCATGAAAAAAACATTCCTACATAAAAAAAATTTCTGCTGCTCTATAGTGTCCAGGAGGGTACACTGAAAATGCATAAAAGTCCAAGGCTTTGAGTGGAAGGAGTCTTATTTTTTGGTTTGAAAAGGAATATTGCAGCTTTAAGGGAATATTTTTCTAAGTTAACAATCTTAAAGGCTAGGAGGTCATTCAGCTAATACAAATCAGCTGCGCGAGCCCAACAAAACGGCTATGTGCTCTGCAGCTTGTTTTTATTATCCTTCCACCCTCTTTATGAGGTCCAATTTTTTTATAAACAGAATTTTTAAGAATGACCTAATCTCCAGTTGTTTGTGTGCATTAAATCATTTTGCTAGTCATGTACACAACAGGACGGGTAGAAGTTGTCCTGGGCTGAGACTGACATCCACCGAGAGCTCATTGTGTGGTAAACGTGGACTGTGTCAGAAATTCAACATTTGGTAACTTCAGTAAACAGTATATACTGGGACAGGAAGAGAGTGTTGCCTGTTAACAGGCCCCCATGTGTGGTAAAGAGCTCTTTCAGTTCATGAATGAAAACAAGAAGTTACATCATTAATAAATTCAGATCAGAGGTAAGTTACAGCTTTGTGCCAAGCTCCGTGGTATAAATTAGACAACAAAATGGTTAGACCTTGGCAAGTTACCTTTGAGGTGGAATCAGCTGAGAGAGACTTTATTCACTGAAAACAGTCTTGGAAGTGAACAAACTCTTTTTTCAGGACGTAGGGCGAATTTCCAAGGACCAAAGCCATGTGAGGGCAGTTATTGAAAATTTTTGACATTCCAACCACAAATGAGCCAATAAATACTTTCTCCACATGTGCTTCAAAAAGAAATTGGAGTGGGGTAGAAAAGAACTGAATTATGCTACCTTCTTTTTGCAGCCAAAACGTCTACACTTACAATGGCCACCTTCAAAATTTCAGCATCCTGGCGCGGTGCCACGTCCCTCATGGTTTTGCTTACTCTGATGTCTTCCCAAAAAATGTACCTAAATCGCTATTACTTCCACACATTTTGTAGTAAACTAAAAACAGGCCCTTAATAAAAGCCTTGTGACTTTACATAAGATAGAGTGTTCATTAAATGGGGGGAAGAATAAATAAAACTTACTCTTAACCTAAACAATACCATTCCAAACTTTTCAGGGATACCAATTGGTAGAATGCAAACAACTGTACGGTTCTTTAAATTAAATGGCCAGGGAAAGGACTCGGAGGGAGGAGGAAGAAACACAGCTCTTGCTTAACGACTTTCTCTTACCTTTCAGTCCCTTTCTCCTGAGTGACATGGTACTGCAGGGGTGTTAGCCGCTTCCTCAGCTCCTGCTGGGAAAAGACCACCTTACAGTTCTTTTTATCCCTACATGACCCTGGAGAGAGAGGATATGGGGAGAAGGAGGCTTTTTAGCTCGAATCCTAAATACTTGCTTTGGCTGGCCGCCACAGGCCAGCTCCTGCAGCCACTGTCACTGACCAGACCCATCCCCAACATGCTAGCAAACTTACCCGAACTGCAGCAGATTATTTTTCTCAGTTAAAAAAAAAATGTTTCTCAAGATTCAGGTGATGCCACTGGAGAACGGGCCATGTGCGCAGCCAGCGCTGCTTGTATTTTAGTAAAAATTCACTGAACATTTACTAGATGGTAAAACATTTCATGTTTTCCAATACCTTGACTTTTTTTTTTTTTCAAATGAAACCAAAAGGCTTCAGTCTTTTCACAAGCGCTTACACTGTATATATAAGATGATGGGCATATTTTGTTAGGCAATAATTCTCCATTCAATAATTTTGAAACTTGATAGAAGACCTTGAAATCTTCATTGTTCAATTCCATTCTTGTATTATAAATGCCATCCTTTCTCTTTTTTTGAACTCTAAAGATGTATTTTTTGACTAGGAATTGCTGTTCTCTGTGATTCTGTCAGACGCTTCACTAGATCCCATAGAGTTCTTTTAAAAAAATGTCTCTTTAAAGACTGTATCTTACTATGTCAAAGAGGCAGCAAGAAAGTTTTAATTGAATCCAGGAGAAGGTGTTTACACTAATGAAGATTCTTTAAGTTACAAAGAAAAGGTGAGAAAGATAGGGAGGGGAAAGACAAAGAGAAGAAAAGTGGATTTGATTTCATTTAGAACCTACATTTTCTTTTTTGCAAAGTATATGCAGGATGACTTCACTGATTAAATGTATTTGGTGAGACAATTTTATTGTGATTCTAATAATGGCAGCTTTTATTTCAACACATACAGACTGAAATAAAAATGTTCAGATAACACCTCCTTATATGTGCTATTTTATTTTACTTGCACAAATGATTGAAAAGAAATATAACTCTAGGACAGGTCAACCCTTACTCACTGCAGTGAAATTGCTTTTCTTTGCCATCCATCACAGTGGGAAAGAGGCTTGCAGGTGTCCCGACATGCAGAAATTTACCATTTTTTTGAAATCACTAAAATAAAACTTGCTTAGTCTCCTGATATTAAACTCAACTTCTTTTGAAATATAAAGAAATATGATTTAGGAATAGAAATGTTTTCTGCTTCTTTAAGGCACCCAATGTCATAGTACATGAGATCACTGAAATTAAACTGGGAGAAAATTAACTAGTTACCCTGATTGTGGGATTGAAGGATATCAGCTTCCAGAATGAGAGCCACCAAGATAGAGTGGTTGATTCTCTACAAGAATATATGGAGGCAGGGAGAGAGCAAACCAGAGCCAGAGAGGTGCGCCTTGGCGCAGGCCTGTGGGCTGTCAAACAGTGCCTCTCCTGACTTTGCACAAAACCTGTTGGCCCTGCTCTGGCCTGGAAGAATCCCCGGGAACAGCTGGTGTAGCACTACCATCGTGGTGGTCTCTCATCCCACTGGACCCCATATCCCACTAGGCATTACCTAAATACCTACTACTTACCCTTTTAGTATTTTCCTGAGAAAGGTTTGTCCTGTCAGAAGAAACCTCTCCACAGGCTGAATGCAGAACTGCCCTTTCTTAAAGAAAAATCAGTTGACTGTGACAGGCGAGTTTCTGCTCAATTCACTGTAGACTTCTTAAAAGTTATCTATTTGTTATTGATTTGTTGGGAGGGTTGCATCTTTGTTGATTTTGTCCCCTCAAATTCATTAATTGCAAATTTAACACAGCAAAATATCTTGGTTAAAATTATTTTCTAATGGCATGGATAATTAAAATCTGTACAATTAAAATTAAACAACTCTGCCCAAAATATTTTTAATGATATATGTTCATTCATACAAAAAGACCAATTGTGTTCCCAAAGTTGAGAGAATTAAGCTACCCATCTGTATGTCATTTAGTACAAGAGAAGCAACTGCAGGTTTAAATTACATGGTATTGGATTGCAATTTCCTAACATTGGATGCTTTTCTGCTTTTTTACCTTGAGTCATTTACTAAGGAGTGTTCATAAAAAGTAGCTTAAAGCACAGATGCTTGCAAATCGTTTAAGCAAAGATGTGTCTCTCTTTTTCATTCCCCCTCTCTCAAAAATTTCTCTTTTCGGAAGAAAAAGAATAAAACTGTTGGTCAGTATTGATGAACCATGTCAAGTATTTGTGCAAGGAGAAAAGGTAAAATTGAAAACATCTGATTGAAGTAAATAATACAAACATAAAAGCTTTACTGGTGAATGAAGGGTATTGAAGAGACTTTATTTCATAGATTAGAAATTACTTTTGATCTAAACATTCTTAAAAACAGATTGTTTTCCACTATGAACCATCTCATTAACTGTGCTACAGAGACCTCATTTGAATGGCAAGCTTTGAAAGAGTGCTGCTGTACTCTTTTGTTAGTCTCCGTCTTATTTGGGAGGGGATAAAGATTTCATTCCCGCTTTCTTTGTCTGTCTTTCAAGAACCACTAAAGCAGTATTCACACAATTTTGTAGGAATGTGCCCTATGTCATAGCCTACAAATTATTTGGTTTTGGTGCACTTAAAGGTCATCTTCCAAATTAGCAAAATTTTCCTACATTCTGGCTTTTCAACTTTAAATATAAATATTGTTTCCTAACTGTAAGTGAGGTTTGTTCTTTAAGAAATGCTAGTGCCTATTTAAAGTTGTCAAAATCTGAACAGTTTTCTTCTTTGTCATACTTTGTTCTCAAGGTAATTAGGCTTTTAAAGTGTGCCTGATAGCAAAAGGAAGTATGTGAAGACTAGAAACAACTGTGATTTTATATTAAACAACTGAATGAGAAGTTAGATTTTAATGTCTTGCCACATCATTTAATAACTTCCTGAACAATTGAAAGCTATACTATTACATTAGATCTTCTATCATCATAACCAAAAACTGGCGTATACAAACATAGAAAGGCTTCACTTTTGTCTCTTGATTTCCCTTCTCCCTATCAGACTCACTTTTCTAAAGTCATATGGTGCCACTGTTAATTTTGAAGAAATCATTTCATTTTGAAATGCTAGAATAATTCATTGGATAGTTTCCCTTTACTATCTTCACTTAGGTAGTGTAATTTTCTTATTACACAGGGTAATTTAACATTAGTATTATATGACATCTGTTCAATGACCTCTAAATTGGCCTAGAAGTATATTAGGGAAAGATTTTTCCCTTTATTTGAAAGTTTAATAGAATACTTAGAAGGCAAAAGTGAATGTGTGTGTGTGTGTATATATATATATATATACAACACAAAGTGTATTTGAGGGGATAATACTGCCACTTTTATATCTCATCATAACACCATTCTCTACAGTGTAACTGTGGTGAAGATGAGATCCACCTTGAACCCAGTCCAAGTGTATTTATTTACTGAAATATACCCAAAGCCTGTTTTTATATTAAGGCTTGTTCCATGTTGGTGCCACAAGCCAGTATTGTCTTCAAATTCCAATGGGAAGCTCTTGCTCCAAGTTCAAAAACTTACAGCAAGAGTTCATGTTCTGGCTCCACCTGCTTCCCAGTCATGTGACCTTGGACAAGTCAGTCTATGTACTGACACCCTCGCAGGTCTCCTATAAGGCTCACAGAAATTACCACTTAGCAAACACTGTCTGAATAAATGTAGTATCACATTATCCTTCTGATTATAGTAAATTCTGACATTAAAAATGTACTTTAAAAGGTAGCCAGATCAGGTATTTCAGTGTGTTACATTTTCTTACTAGTGATTATTTTTCTATAATTCCCTCAGATTTCCTACATAGAACTTTCTCACAAGTTCTCTTTAAAAATGATTAAAACAGGACTTGAAAGAAAAGAAGAGAAGTAAAACATGATTGCCTAATATGTGCCAGGCACATTTCTAGGATTTTTTACATTACCACATTTGATCCTCTCAATAATTTTAAGAGAGAGAGAGAGAGGTCATGTCCATTTTACAGATATAGAACCTAGGCTCAGAGAGGTTATAACATAACTTACTAAGGACAAGTAGCAATTAAGTATATCAACTCAAACCCTGGGCTGTCTGACTGCAAAGCCCATGGTCCTTATATATTCTATGAGGAAAAATTATGTTACAACTATCTTCTTTCTTCTTAAATTATGCAACAACTTTCAGCTTTAAAAAACTATCACTAACAACTTGAGATACTATGGGAGAAAATGAATTATGGCCACAGTACATCCAGAAAAATAAATACATTTGTCTATTAGCCAAGGTCTGTTTTCTCTGTGTTCATTCCTTCAATACAAGGTCAGTAACAAGGTTCAAATGGTATTCTCACAAAGTCCATAAAACAAAAGGCTTTTAAACTTTATGTTAAGTAAATCAGATGTTACCTAAGTCTTAGAGCACTTTTAAATCATAAATCTTATATTTCAGTGTAAAATATCAAAACAAAACAAAACATAAAGATCCTATAACTTTAATTTTGGTTCTAGGATCAGAAAGAATGAAACTTTTAAATGTCTTCCCAAGATAATAAACACATGAGAAATGATCAGACTATCCTGTTTTGCTTTGAGTTTACTAGGTTAAAACAGTAAAGTTCATCTTGAAATATCTTGCTAATATATTTAAAAGTGAAAATATTCTAACTTTCACTACCAATTTCAATTTTCAGTTGGTTATTAGTCTGTCATACTGGAAAGCTGAACTAATTTAAATTCCAGATATAGTAGTGTTAGAAATTTCTAAGTAAATGGACATTTTATAAAAGACAAATCAAGTCTATTTTTAGACTACAATGTGAAATATATTCCATGAACCATTTTCTCATGTTTGTTTATTTGTTTTGCATCCCAGTGGTTCAATAAAGGTTTTAAGAAACCAATTCCAAGCACAGGGAAGAAGCATGTTTGGAGAAGCATACCCAATTCTGATTTTTCTAAGTAAACCTACATAGGAAAAACATTTGTGAGATTAACATACAAT